AAGACTGAGTAAAGTATCTGCACATAGTCAGTCTATTTGTCCATTGTCACTTATTTTATGTAAAGGAACATGAACCACTGTTTGGGTTTTTTTTTTTCTGTTAATCTCCTCAAAAAGTAATATGCCAGTAATAGGGTTATCTGAAGAAATACAAAAAATTATATTCTTAGAATCCGCCCAGGTATCAGAATCAAAGAAGCTGAGATAAATAAATTATTTTGAAAATATGTTAGAAATAACAGAGGATGGTCAGCCTGTTTGGTTTATTCATTCTTCCTGTGTGCCCACATGCATCGTCCTTGTCCTCAGTGGATTTAAGAACTATGACAATGTATGTTTACGGTGCCTTTGTTTAGTATGAGATAATTGTGTTTATATGGTTTTGTCTCTGTGCCTTCTATTCTGTACCATGAGTCTACCTGTCTGTTTTGGTGCCAATACCATGCCATTTTTGTTACTACAGCCCTGTAGTATAATTTAAGATCTGGTATTGTGATGCTTCCTGCTTCACTTTTCTTCTAAAGATTGCTTTGGCTATTCTGGGTCTTTTACTTTTCCAAATAAATTTCATGAGTATTTTTTCTATTTCTATGAAGAACATCATTGGAATTTTAGTAGGAATTGCATTAAATCTTTCTAGCTCTTTGGGCTGGGATTGTGGCTCAGCGGTAGAGCGCTTGTCTAGCACGTGCGGGGTCTTAGGTTCGATCCTCAGCACCACATAAAAATAAATAACTAAATAAATAAAGATATTATGTCCAATGACAACTAAAAATAAATATTAAAAAATATTTCTAGTTCTTTTGGTAATATGGCCATTTTGACAATATTATTTCTGCCTATCCAAGAACACGGGAGATCTTTCCATTTTTTAAGGTCTTCTTCAATTTCTTTCTTTAGTGTTCTATAGTTTTTATTATAGAGGTCTTTCACCTCTTTTGTTAGATTTGATTCCCAAATATTTTATTTTTTTATTTGAGGCTATTGTGAATTGGTTAATTTTCCTAATTTCTTTTTCAGTTGATTCATCACTTATATATAGGACAATAGTTGATTTATGGGTGTTATTTTTATATTCTGCTACCTTTCTGAATTTACTTCGGAGCTCTAGAAGTTTTCTTTTGGAGTTTTTTGGGTCTTCTAAGTACAGAATCATGTCATTGGCAAACAGGGATAGTTTTTGAATTCTTCTTTTCCTGTAGAAAAGATAGCCTCTTCAACAAATGGTGCTGGGAAAGATGGAAATCCATATGTAGCAAAATGAAATTAAATCCCCATCTCTTACCCTGCACAAAACTCAACTCAAAGTGGATCAAGGACATAGGCATTAGACCAGAGACCCTGCACCTAATAGAAGAAAGAATAGTCTCAAATCTTCATCATGTTGACTTAGGAACCAACTTTCTTAACAAGAAAGTACAAGCAGTAAAATCAAGAATCAACAAATGGGATGGAATCAAACTAAAAAGCTTCTTTAAAGCAAAGGAAACAATAAAGTATGGGAAGAGAGAGCCTACAAAATGGGAGAAAAATCTTTGCCACCTGCACCTCAGATAGACCATTAATCTCTAAGATATATAAAGAACTCAAAGAATTTAACACACACACACACACACACACACGCACACAAAAAAAACCTTAGTCAATAAATGAGCAAAGGAAGTGTTCAACATTTCTAGTGGCTAGTGGTTAGAGAAATGCAAAATGAAAACCATACTGAGATGTAATCTCACTCCAGTCAGAATGGAAATTATCAAGAATACAAGTAACAATAAATGTTGGTGAGGATGTGGGGAAAAAGATACACTCATACATTGCTCGTGGGACTGTAAATTGGTTCATCTGGAAAGCAGTATGGAGATTTCTCAGAAAATTTGAAATGGAACCACCATTTGACCCAGTTATCGCACTCCTTGGTGTACACCCAAAGTACTTAAAATCAGCATACTGTAGTAACATGGCCACATCAATGTTTATAGTAGCTCAATTTACAATAGCTAAACTATGGAACCAGCCTAGGTACCCTTCAACAAATGAATGGATAAAGAAAATGTGGTTTATGTACACAATGGGATATTACTCAGCCATAAAGAGAAATGAAATTATGACATTTGCTGGTAAATGGATGGAATTGGAGACTATCATGCATAGTAAAATAAGCCAATCTCCCCAAATGAAAACTCTGATATTTGGATGCTAACTCACAGTAAGGGTGGGTATGGAAAAATAGAAATACTTTGGATTAGACTAAAGGGAATGAAGGGAAAGGAGAGGAGTTGGGAGTAGGAAAGTTAGTAGAATGAATCAGACATTACTTTTCTATGTTCATATATATTCATATATGAATACATGACCAATGTAATTCCACATCATGTACAACCAGATATATGGGAAGTTGTACTCCATATATGTATAATATGTCAAAATATATTCTACTGTTATGTATTAAAAAAAACATAAAAAAGCTACTATGACAGAAAAAGGATAGGATTTTTATAAAGCAAAAAGGGACTTCAAAGATCAGCTGACGGGGATGGGGTTGTGGTCCAGCAGCAGAGCACTCGCCTAGCATATGTGAGGCACTGAGTTCGATCCTCAGCACTACATAAAAATAAATAAACAAAAATAAAAGTATTGTGTCCAACTACAACTAAAAAAAATATTAAAAAAAATTAAAAATAAATAAATAATAAATAAATAAATAAATAAAAATTTTTAAAAAAAGAGATCAGTCAGTGCATTGTCTTGGTAAGCAAGGACCTTGCCACGAAGTGGCTTGTTCAGGGTCACAAAGATAGTAGCATAATTGGAACTTGAACTCAGATCTGAGTCTTTGCACAGAATTCTTGTAAATATCCTTATTCTCTTTGCTCTCTCACTGGAAGTGAAATTTTGTTTTTCTTATTTATTTACAATTGAATCTCTTCTTTCTTTCATTATTTCCTCATCTTTACCCCTTAACATCTTCAAACTTAAGAAAAAATAAAATTACAAAAATTGTTCTCTGATATAATTTCTGATTTTGATTTTATTTTTAATTGGATCATGAATGTATAAGATTAAAAACAAAATGAATTACCTTTTTGTAGAATGTAACATGACTTCTCTTGGTTCAACTGGAGGATATATCTCCAAGGGTACTTTGTAGATCTTAGTATATGAGCACTGGCTAGGAAAGAAAGACTATATTTCCAAAAAATGAATCAAGCAATAATTTTTCATTCAATGACTATAAAAACATGCCTTACTATGGGGATTCATGGTAGATTTCACTTCAATAAAATCCAAGTTAATTTCTTAAAGTAAAAATATAGATGTGTTTCAGGGAAACAAGTATTTATTCAACAAGTATTTTTAAGTCCCTTGTAAGTCCATTATAAAGTTGTCACTATGACAAGCTGCTGTAGAGAAAACTAAAGGGACAGTATAAAATGGCAATCTAAATATAGACCAAATGTTTTCTTTTGGTGAGAAGGTTGTGTATTTACAGGTATTCTTAACTGAGTTTTACAAGCACACATTCTTGCAAAAGTGTTTATAGAGAAATAATTCCCTTAAATAAAAGTCACATTAATTATGGAATGAGAATATCTGAGATTCCATGAGATGATTATCAATATCAGTATAAGAAACACTGTTACGGGTTCTATAATTTACTGTTTATCAGCTCTATGAATTCTGTAAGATGGGAATGGGTTGCCTTTTAATTAAACGTGATATCCTTTCCAAGACAATACAAGGCATAAAATCTTGCTTCCAAGTTAATGCCATTAAACCATTCCACAAAGACAGTTATCTCTTCTTGCCTCATATTTCCCTTGTGGTAATTGTTTCCAGTGTTGGTTTAAAAATTCTAAGACCCAAGATGCTTTCCCTGGTATTTAATTTAATTTCCCATGCACTCCCTTAAACTTATCACATTTTTTCTTTACTATTCTGAGAGCATAGCTGACATTTTTAATAGTATTCTTATGTATATTAAACTGATATCAAGTGTCTTCTTCATCCCTCAATTCTTCAGGCTATACAAGAGTTCTTTTTTGCCCCCTCATAAGATTTATTGACTCAATCTTTAAATCATTCTAATGACTCTAAGTCATTGTTATGAAACTCAGTCCATTATATTTTTATATTCAAGGCCCTAAATTTGACACCATACTCCAGCCAAATCAAGAATGTTGTTATATGTGGTGGGGAGATAAATTTATAGTCTGTACTGTAAACACAAGCTCTTGTTTTTACATAATAGCAGCAGATTTTCTAACTCATGTAATTTTGAGATGCTGGTAGATGCCTCCACCCCTTATTTATTTTACATGTAAAAATTAGCCTCTTCCCAGTAAAAGCTTCTCAGAAAGGTACCCAGTAAGAGCTTTAATATCTTCTGGTAATGATAGCATCACCAGATTTTGATTTTAATGCTTATTAGAGAAATTCATTGGTGGGATTTCAAAGATGGCCATGATTGTACTTACCACTGCTTTATAATAATAGCAATGCCAGGGCAAAAAGGGTGACTAGAGAAAGGGATATTCCAAAGCCCCTATTTTTACCAGCAACTCATCCCGCATGTTTGGAATAGGTTTGGAAAGTTATCTTTTTTCTTCTGAAATATGCGATACAAACACGAGACCTCAAATTCCATCTTCTTGTCAGGTACTATGTTAAGATCTCCTGCATTGAATTCAAGAGATAGTATATAAATATTTGTCATATCATTAGTCATGACAGTCTATTTTGATTAAAATGTGGGCCCAAAATACCTGTCTTGGGACCAAAATTTGTGTTTGGAAATCTTTAGATATAAAACTGAATATTATTTTTCTCATTGATTTATATGAAATATGAAGTATTCCTCATTATTTCTCTCTGAAGAGAGCTGTAAATCTATTGCTGCCTTTTGTTCAATTACCAATTAATATTCTGGAAGTATTTTAACTTTATATAATCTTACCTGATTGGAAATTTGTTATAATTTTTTTTTGTATCTCTTCTCACAGCCTGCCACATATTAGAATGCCGCAATGGAATGGCCCAAGATGTCATAAGTACTATTGGGCAGGCTTTTGAACTCCGGTTTAAACAGTACTTGAAAAATCCTTCTTTGAATACTTCTTGTGAAAGGTCAGCCAAGAGTTCTGTGGTTATTTGACTTGCTTTCTATTTTAAAAATTAATATATTTTAAAATTGATTAAGGAAATTAGTAATTATTTTCTTATAATTAGGTGCAGTTTCAGTACAAAATTATAGTGACATTTTCTATTTTCTTCCATTCATATTTATAAAGATATCTCCTCTTGTTTTGTAACAAGATTACAGGAGACAATAAAAGTAATAAACAATCAGTCCTGTTTCTCTAGTGTAACAGAAAGCTGTGAATTACATACAATTATAAAATAATAAACGTTATCAACAAGTTCTTTGGATTTTTTTAAACCCCAGATCTCTTATGTAAAAACAAGAACCAAGAACAAAATAATAAGAATCAAATGTCTACTATAGAACTTCTTGCTTGCTAATTTGCGGTATAAATAGATCAGCTTTCACTAAATTGTGGCAGCGGGTGGAACACGACATGACCCAATGATCTCGTTGTACTATCTAAAGCACAGAAAGTTCAGAATGAAAGCTGAACTCCTTTAGGTCTCTTAGACTCCACCATGTATGGAATGAAGCAAAGCCTCTGGCTTGCAAACACTAGGCTTGGAGATGTCCCTTAATGAGGTAGTCTAGGGTAGGAAATGAGAACCGTTACTAGAAGCCTTGATGCTGAATTTTTCCAGAATAGCACATTGGTCTTAGTGCTATCATTTTGTTTTATGTATAATGAACTCAACAAAACTTTGTGAGTTGTCAGTAGAATTTGCTTGTTCCAAATAGTCTTGATATATTCTTTTTTATAACAAATTTTTATTACTTCTAATTTAAAAGAAAAGCCTATTTGTTTCTTCTTTACCCTGTTTCAGTTTTAAAACCAATTGAATGTTTATATAAATGTACCCACTTACTACATATGGTTCTAATATTTCCTTATGAGTCCCATATATTTGTCTGGATCTGTGCAGACAAGATAGCTAGCCATAGTGTTCTTAGTCTTTTTCCATCTTAGTTTAATAAACTGGGCCAGGTCTTCTACCCAAAGAACAATATCTAAATTTTCCTTGAGCAAAACATTTCCAAAATGCAACAATTGAAGCCTGCTGGAGATACCCAGAAAGCCTTTGCATTTTATGACAAAAATGCCTTATATTTGGAGAGTTTATTATTAATTATTGCTATTATTATTATTATCATTAGTTATCCCTGAGGAGAGACACAAAGCATCACCCTTGGCACTTTTTTTTTTTTTTTTTTTTTTTGCTTACTCCACTTTGTCTACAAAAACTAAACAACTCAACCATCTGGTTGCTTCCATCCAGATGTTTGCTGTCACATAGCACAGCTATACACTTAAAACACAAATGCAAAGGTTTTCAGGATGATTTGCTTGGTTCTACTCCCTTTGCATCCTTTACATCACTTGAATTCCTGCCCAACCTCTTAGGGTTTCTTTTTTTTTTTTTTTCCTTTACAGTGAGGAGGTGCATATTGATGGTCTTTCAGAAGAGAGAGAAGATCATGAATACTACAATGAAATCCCAGGGAAGCAGCCACCTGCAGGTGGTGTTTCAGATGTGCGGATCAAAGTTCAAACTACAGAACAAATGGCTTATTGCCCAATACGCTGTGAAAAGTTATGCTATTTAGTAAGTAATGTTTTATTGTTACAGGAAGCACCAGTGTAACTATGGCCCTATCACTACAGCATTTCATTTGAGGGTTTCCAAATGCCAATTTAGGGAAAGTCTCATCTTTTTCAAATGGTTGGTGGGAGAGTGAATCATAGAGCCTGTACCAGATCATTTTTACTCCCAGTCCACCAACCACAGCCTCAGCAGTCTCATATCTCACTTCACTGGAAAGACCAGGCCATCCAACATATTATCCTCAATTTCACCCTTTCCCATCCCCAAGTCTTCCTGTGTTCTCCTTGATTCTCTTTCTTAGCAACTGCCTCCAAAGCTAATTTTCCCCCTGTGCTCTTGATCCAAATCTCTTCAATCTACCCTTGTCCTGTCCACTAATTTCTGTCTCAGTATTTATCCTCTGTCAGTTCTTTCTCTTCTGCAAATAAACTTGGACTCCTGCAATCCAACTAATAATGTCCTACCTCTTTCTTACCTTCCTTTCACTCACAAACTTCCGGAAAGAATTGCCTCTGTCTTTGCTTTCCTATCTACATTATACTATTAGGATTTGAACTCTGCTTGACAACTTGAAAGAAATTACTTTTACAATGATAATCTGCTTTAATTTTAAATCTGTTTTTCTCTCTGTATTTTGCATCTGTCTACAGCATTTGGCATGTTGGCTACCTCTTCTTTTTTAGAGATCTCTTATCTTAGCTTTCAAAGCCCTTCCATCTTGTCATTTTCTTCCCACATTTCTAGTTACTGCCTGTCTACCTTTCTGCTTGCCTGCCTACCTACCTTCCTTTCTCCAACATTTTATTATGAATGTTTCAAATGTACAGAAAAGTTAAAAGAACTATATAGTGAACACTCACATAATCAACATCTGGTTTCTACAATTCACATTTTACTATATTTGCTTTATCACATGTTGCCATTTATCGTTCATTGATCTATCTTATTATGAACACATTTCAAAGCAAGTTGTATCTTCATCTCTTATTTTCTTCTATCGTCTCTCCTGAAAATCCCAGCCCCACCTTTCTACAATGTAAGTACTCTTTGAGGCTCTGCCCTCGGCTCTCATCTTACCTCTAGCAGGCCACCTGTGCACATACTTCTTCCACCTTCTGTCTTCAGCCCTTATTTACCTCTCCAGCTGTAATGCCAAGTTGTATTACCAAGCTTATTTATATAAAAGTTGAATTTGGCATTTTCCCCTTGACTTCAAACTCAATTCTTGCACTGATTTATTCATATTTATTATGGCATTGCAACTTTTTCATGAATCCATTGTCTTTTGTTTTTATAACATTTTTGGTTCCATATTGACTTTGTTTTCAAGACAAGATTACTCCCATGAAAATGTCTTTTGAAGCTACTTAAAACTTTTTCATTCCTGTTATCCTTTTAAATTCTGGTCCTCTCTTGCTTAGATGGTTCTGAAAGCTCCTTTCCTGTCTCCAGACTCATTCCTCAAACCCTTCTACACAGTATTGCCAGATAAATATTTCTTTTTAAAAAATATTTTTTAGTTGTAGGTGAACACAGTATATTTATTTTTTTATGTGGTGCTGAGGATCGAACCCAGTGCTTCACACATGTGAGGCAAATGCTCTGCCACTAGCCACAACCCTAGCCCTCCAGATAAATCTTTCTAAAGCATAGACATTACCCTTCTCAAAGGCATCAGTTGATCCCTATTCCATTGCTGAAGGCAGCTACATATATAGGAATGATTGAAACCCTTTTATTGGGTGAGATTTTTAAGAATAAGTTTGCTTGGTTAAAAACTTCAGTAGAATAGGGTTCCAGTCTGTCAATTCAAAGTTAGGTGGAGGTTGGCTGCATGGCCCTTGTTTATACAATGTCCTGAAAGTTACTTTCTGTCTGAGACTTTAAGTCCTAAAATGTGAGCTCCCAAACAGAAAAGGAAGCACAGAGGACACAGGACATTAGCAGTCTTTATGATCACCCCCCTACACGATCAGACCCACCTCTCTAACTCCAAAGCAATACTATGAAAAGAGTATGCTCTCCCCATCCAGAATCTCAGTTTCTGACCTGACATTTCTTGTGTCAGAAAGTGAAGTTACCTATTATATTCCTCTGGGAGTATTATAAGTATTTTTTCTTTTTAAAATTTATGCATGTGTACATAAATGTTTCACCGTTTAAACGCACCAATAAAAATGTGGAAAGAAGAGAGAAAAAGAGAAAAAAAATAATGTTTCACAATTTGATTTTCATTTAGCCTGAAAACTCCAAGTGCAGCAGTGTATATGAGAACTGTCTGGAACAAAGCAGGGCAATAGGTAGGTACAGAGTCTTTTCCCATCTGCTACCTCCTGATCCCTTTTAAGTCATATGAATGTGTGTGGCCCTTGCTCTTAAAATCTTTATGGAAAAGTCGTGTATATATAACTAAACACACAATCTTTTTGCTGAAGTCTTCCCAGAGAGGCCCAGAATGCACAGATGTTTTACTATAAAGGCTTGTGGTTCCCTCTTGTTCTTGTGTGATCCATCATGCTGATGATTTTGCAATATGGAGTCTATCACTTCTCTGACATTATGAAAACTTTTTTTCTGGAACGGTGCTGTCTCTGCTCAAAACTCAAGGGATTTTCATTTCAAAGACCAAACAGTAAACTAATATTATGAAAACTGCCTGTCAAATTCTTTAGGATTAAGATAAAACCTTTGTTCCAGGTTGGCAAAGGAAACAAAAGGGTACTTGAAATGTGAGAGTACCAATTAGGGGCCCATCTGCTCCATACTTACCAGGGTACTACATGTTTTTGTTTTATTTATTTGTCTATTTATTTATTTATTTATTTATTTTAGGGTACTACATGTTTTATTGCTGTGTGTGATCACTAATGTTAGGCAAAACTTGTTCACAATGCAAACAGGACATCAGCCGTCAGATTGGAAATAAATTTTCATAAAACAAGTTATATTGCTAGTTAGTTCTTTCATTCTTAAAGTTGTATAAAATATTTATATGGGAAGGAAAGTTTTGCAGCTTTAGAGGGGGAGATGACTGAACAGTATAAATAATGCAGTGGAGGACAGAATTGGATAACCACATCTAAAGCTAAGGCAGTATTTTAACATATTTAAAAACATGACTCCTGATTAAAATATCATGGAATTCTTCAAGATTACTTAAAACTCTAAACAGAATAATAGGAGATTGCCATCTACAAAGTAGTCACTTCAAGGATCCTTTTATATTTCCTATGCAATTATGCCAGTGCAATCTATTAATTTTATTATTTTTACACAGTGGAGGGACATATGAGGATTTATTGTTTCTAGTGTAACTGATTATCACTCTCTTCGATCCTAAAAAAAAAAAAAGGAATAATAAGGGCTGGGGTTGTGGCTCAGAGGTAGAGTTCTTGCCTAGCATGCATGAGGCACTGGGTTCAATCCTTAGCACCACATAACAACAAAATAAAGATATTGTGTCCACCTATAACAAACAAACAAATAAATAAATAAAGGCATAGTAAGCTAAGGCAGTATTTTAACTTATTTAAAAACATGACTTCTGATAAAAATATCATGGCATTCTTCAAGATTACTTAAAACTCTAAACAGATTCTTAATAATATGACGAATCAAGCTAATAATTGTAAATGTGAATGTCTTTTAAAAATTATGCTAAGAAAAAGAAAAAATAAAAAAATAAAAAAAATTAAAAAATAAAAATTATGCTAAGATCTGTAATTCCTCCTACCGTCTTTCTTTTCCTTCACCCAGGAAATTCTTAACCCAGGGATTTAACAGTTAGGTACATACCATGGATAACCTGTAATATTGTAAACATCTCCCTTTGCTGAGCTCCCTTGAAAATATTTCTGTCCTTTTAAATCTTATTAATATATTCTTCACTTATTCAGCTGTTCATTCAGTGATATTTATTGAAGACTTCTCATGGACCAGGCACTGTGCTAGCTGCTAAGGATAGACAAAACTAGCACTCATGTACTTTGCAGGTTAGTCAGAAAGACACACATGAACAGATGCTAACAAATGTAATGAATGTCACAAAGCCCAAGATGATATGGGAACAAATAGTAGGAAACCTATTTAATCTAGGGAACTACAGAAGGTCTTCCAAAGGAAGTGACAGCAAAATCAAGATCTGAGGGATAAGGAGGAATTATCCAGGTACAGTGGAAAAGACAGGGAAAGAAAGGGAGGGAGAGAAAAAGTGAGGAAGAAATAGAAAGAATGAAAATGAATAAGCTTCAGAACTAAGTGTGCTGGCACCCGGACTGTGGGCAGAGACAGCATGGGGCAGAGAAGAAAAATGAGTCTTGAACCTGTAACAATATCCTAAGGATTGTGAAAGTTTTTACTCCTTCCCAGATACCTCCCTTTCCAGCTTGTTTCCCTCCTCTCCATTAAACAGTCATCATGATCATATCTTGCATCCTCAGTCACCCAGCTTCTGAAGAGAACTCACTGAAAGAAAAGTATCAACTTCTAGAATTAGTACAAAATTGTAAACCACAATACAACTATTGGAGGAAAGTGGCATGTTTCCCTCCTCTTCCACCCCTCCCCCTTCTTCTCCTCCCACCTCCCCCTTCCCCTCCTCCCTCTTCCTCCTCCTCCTGTTTCCTCCACCTTCTCTTCTTGTTCTTCCTTTTCCTCCTCTTCTCCTTCTGCTCCTCCTCCTCCCCTTCTCCCAAGAGCTCTCATCTTGATTTTTATTTTTTACATTTTATTCTTCCTCCAAAAGAATAAATTTATGAAGGAATTAACAGAGGCATCATTTTAACCTTGTTCAAGATTTTTCTTTTTGTAAGTAAAGCTTAGTTATAGAATCCAAAATTGATCGTTTTTGATTATCTTGGTTTTATTTCTTACTTAAACCAACAGTGTAACTTCTTATGTCATATGTGGCATTTATATGCCCTAAGCCACCATAAGCAGATCCAAACACACAAGTAGTCTTTATAATAAAAGGTTGTTTAGACCTGGGATATTTTTTCATAGAAATAATTTTAGCAATGATGCCTCTTACACAATTACACTACATGATACTGTTCTGGTTTGCTTAAACTGGAGCATAAATGTATATTTCATTATGAAAAATACAGTTAAAATTCTGTTACTGCCTTTCATCATGGTGGCTCTATGGTAATGATTAACTGAGAACCTTGCAGAGTCTTGGGGAAATGAGAGATGGTATTTGTAATTGAAAAAAGTCCTCCACTAGATATATTCTTCCACAATTAGTCCCTGAACTACAACATTGTTTTTGATGAGGAATCATAATATTAGAAAGCCTTCTTGCCAAATCTTAGCCACTACCTGGGTGTAGTGACACGCCTGTAATCACAACAATTTGGGAGGCTGAGGAAGAGGATTACAAATTTGAGACCAGCCTCAGCAATTTAGTGAGTTCCTGAGCAACAAGACCCTGTTTCAAAACAAAAAGCAAAGCAAAAGAAAATAAAATGGGCTGGGGATATGGCTCAGTGGTAAGGGCCACTGGGTTAAATCACTGGTACTAAAAAACAAACAAAAAAAAAAACCAATCTTGGCCACTAAAATCCTGGTGGGATAGAGGAATTCAACCCATGCTCCAGAGGCTACAAGAAAGGTCCCTTCTATTGTGGCAAAAGGCATTTTCCTACTGTAATGTCCTTTCATCCCTAGATAACCATAAGTCAGGTCCATATTTCAGGTTTATATCACCTTCCTGTGACTCCTGGGCATGTGTTTAAAAAGTGGTCTGAAATTCTTGACCAATGAGCAAATTAGCCAGTTGCCAGACCAGCAAATATATAGTTTTTATGGCATTTTCCAGAGCTGCATTTGTAAGCATTTGAGAGACACCTATATAAATATTTTTAATAAGGTTTGGATTTTTCCTCCCAAGACATTTATTTATTCAAATATTGACTTAAAACTTGAATTTTGGGAGTATTATAAATATTGCAATAAGTTATTGAAGGATTTAATTGTTTTTGTTCTAAACACAGAAATAATCTCTATCCTTAGCACTAAATTTTTTCCACATGGAAAAAAAATAATTAGCAAAGTATAATAATGTTTCCCAAACCTTCAAGTTAAATGGAAATGTTGATATTCTAAATCAAAATGGTGTTAAAGTTCCATAAACCTTAAGGGCTTACACTTGAAAATTTTGTTAAAGTACATATATGGTGTATATATTTATTTTCTGCCACAAATCTTCTCTTAGGCAGGTTGGATAGGTTTTCAGAGTAATATTTGGCACAGAGAACTTTTGGAATGCATAATGGCCGGCATATGTGACTAAGGTCTCATCAACCATATACTTTAGCCTAGAATGATGTTAAATTTGGGTACTGGGTGGGGTACCTTTTTTAAAAATTTAAGACAACATTGCCAACTTCAGTATGATGTTGCATTTTAAAAAAAAAGCAATGGTAGTTTTCAGGAGAGACTGTATACAGACATCCAGGCTTCTGTGTAATCCTTCTGAATGGTAAATTTGATGTGGTCAACTCAGGCTAATGCTTCGGGAAGAAGCAGATGTGTTAAAGGTTGATTCAGGATCCTCAGAACATGATGGGGTAAAATATGCTAAGATAGGAAAACAGAATAGACATTCAGTCATTTGTTCATTTAGCTATTTTTCTTCTGAGTAATAAACAGGTAATGAAGATGCAAGACCTACTTTAAAAAAATTTGTTCTAGTCTTTCTTCTTTAGGACTCAAGGAATTTGTGACCTGGAGGGGAAAGATAGACAAGAAAACAGATGAAATATATTATGGAGTGGCATCTAACCCAACTTGAAGGAAGGAAGAACTCAGGAGAAAGCTTTCTGAAGGTTCAGGTTTTAAATAGTTTCAGGGCAGAGTTGTACAGGACAAACAGGAGTTAAAGAATGGGGAGGGTTATTGCAGTAAGAGATAAATATCATGTATAGGGGCTTAGCATCTATGAATAAATAAACAGCTGAGCACTATGATAACTATTTATTGATTGCCTACCAAAAGGCAAAGTCTATGTTCAGTGTTTCACTAACATTAGTTCCTTTAATCCTCCTGACTCTAGTTTAAAGATATGAAAACTGAATCTTGGTGGGTGTGGGGTATGGGGTGGGGTTACTTAGCTTGCTCCAGGCCACACAGTAAGAGGTACCACAGGGGTGTGAAACAGGTTCATATGAATTTAGAATATTTGGTCATATTCTAATTTCAATAATTTCTATGAGCAGCAACTCTTAAACAAATGATTACTCAATCATTTGTTATAAATACATATGCCAGTGTATTATGCAGACATTATAAAATACACATAGAATACTTTGAAGTTGGAATTTATGGTAAACAGTTTTTTAACAGTCTTGCTAATCAGAACAACTAGATGCTATCATTAGATAACATTTTGAGACCCAGTATGCATTTAGAGCATTTACTGATAAAGAAAATAGATATAGATTTTCATTTTAAATCTTGGTAATTTTAACTTCTGGGGACCAAAGTCTCACCTGATTATATTGTTATTCATAAGCTCATAATGCAACCAAGAAGTTTGTACTAAGAGTAAAAGAATGATCTTCAATCTTTGATTTCTTTGCAGTGATCTTTTAGTCACTTTCTGTTTGTGAAAGTAAATTTAGTTTAAAGTAGATAATACAACTCATAAATCCTCTTAACCAACAAATGGAAACTGTAATATGTTGCAAAATATACAAACAAAAGAGGTGCTCTGTTGAACTCTCTCCCTGCAGAAACCCCACTCCTCTCTCAGGAAATCCTACATATGAAGTATACCACTTGACCAGATAGCATGAAACAGCTGACAAACAGAAAAGGAGTAAAGGAGGAGCAGGTAGTAAGAATGTAATCTGGCTGGGCTTTCCCTACTTGGTGTACTCTTAAGTTTCTATACTGTCAATTACTAGAATCATAGCACTTAACTCACCATGAGGTGTGGTCCACTATGCATTAGATTTGTTGTAGGGGACAGATGAGACAAGGCACTGAAGATAGCAGGAAATATTATTTGGCTGCAGCCAGGTTCAGAGTGTACAGCTTTTACCGTAATCAGTTAATCCCCTAAATCCCAAGTTCAGGTAGTTTCAGAACTTTATGCCCAGCATGTAAGGGGAGGGGCTCAGAAGTTCATAGTCAGCAGAAGTTCACATAAAAGCAGCTTTTTCTTTCACTGTTTTGGGCAAGTTAACCCTTCAAGGATAACACCTGAGAAGAGGAGAGCTGCTTCTCCCCTTTATTTCCTCCCCCTGCCAGCTGTTACTATGGAGCCCGATTGGTAACTTATTTTATCTTAGAAATGTAGACATCTCTGTGAAGCTGCAGCTCATGGCCAGAGCCCTTGTTAAAGGATATGTCTTTTTATTATCATATTTTGCATTTGCAAGCACACTTTTACAAACTAATATATTGGATAAGTGTTTGTGAAAAACTAGTAAAGGGGTGTTCAGCACCTGCAGTGCTGATTTCTCCCAGGTCACTAAAATAGAGCAACAGGAAAATAGGAAATTTACCTACATTGAACTTTTGTAGAGACTCTTTTCTGGTAGTCTTAAAATCAATTATGGTGAAGATTTCTGAAGAAGCTTAGTTAAGATTTTCTGTGGAGGAAGGGGTGTCACTACAGGTCCTCAGAGGAGTTCAATGACTGAAGCAATAAAGGACTAATGCTGTTTTATGGCAAAGCAATGGAATGTCACTATTTCATGTACACCTCATGGGATAGTACATTTAGCTAAGACTTAAGTATATTTGTTTAAATAGAAAAGCAAAATATTCTATCCTGGCATTCTTAGTAAAGAACTATCTGGATGCCACAGAGTACTTCATGCCATCAGGTAGTGCTAATGTCCATGAATTCAGTATTATATGCCAGGTATGTGCAGGATGACAGCTGTGAACAAAGCAGACGTCATCCCTGTTTTCATAGAGCATATGATTGAGATGTGTGCAGAACTCCAACAATTAATAACAAATAAAAAATGAATTGTTCTTGTGGTATGGGCTCCAGTGGTTAAGCACAAAATACTAGGAAAGAAGAGATCCAATCTAGTTTGAAGGGTCAGTGAAGGCTTTCCTGAAGAAAGGAGTTTAAACTGACATCTGAAGGGCAAGAGTGATGGATAAGGGGAGAGAAGAGCATGTCAATCAGAGAAGAGGGACCTTACTATGGAGACCGTACTTCGAGGTCAGTGTGACCCCAAGCAGAGATCTGGAAGGAGAAAGGAGGAAGGGGAGCCAAGTACAATAAAACAGGGCTTACGGCTTGTCAAAGAGTGTGGGAAGCAATCAGAAGGTTTTTAAACTGAGAAATATGACCAGATTTGCAGTTTAAAACATAATTGTAGGCACTATGTATAAAATAGTGTGGACGGGAAGAGAACAGCTTAAGAGGGAAGAAGGAGAAAACCTGAGGGTAGAGTCCTATCCATTGAATAACAGAATGAAATATTGCAATTGGTGCAAGGCTGAGGTTGGCAAGAGAAAACTTTGAGAGTAAAACCGATACTAAACTTCCCATACTTAAGAATTTTAATTTATTAATTCATTTATTATTTTAAAAATATACTTAGTTCACAAGAAGTAAGAATTTTGAATTAATTACTGAAGCATTTGAAAAGGAGTTTAACAAATAGATATTCAGATTTTATATAATATTTGTGTTTTCCTGATTGCTATGCTACTACTACAAGCCAAGCCACGGATTGGAACTGTTTGCTGAGACAATTGCAACCCCACTCCTCTTGTTTTTTCTCCAGCCATTCCTCTTCAGAATTTTTTTGCTTATCTTTGGTCTGCTTTGGGGATAATGGGTCAGCTGAGGGACAAGGCAGAGAAGGAAAGGAAGGCCAGAGAAAAAGTGTCTTTTCCTTGAAGATTGGTGCATGTCTTGATTTTATGAGTGAGACCCTAAAAATCAGTGTTCAGTTTTTGTTTAGAGTAGGTAGGCATGACTTAATAGCTTCCTGTCATTTCTCTACTTAAACATGATTTACTGTTATCAAAAATATAATGAATTGATCACTGCTAATCACTATAGGTAATGCCCAGGAGAAAGGGGTGCACTGTCAGCGAGATGCCTCGTTAATGAAGCACACATGTCGAGTGGATCTTTTTGATGACCCTTGCTACATTAATACGCAGGCTCTTCAAAGTACATTCAGCTCTGCTCAGAATCAAAACCCATTTCAGCCACTGGGGAGCTCATGGCATTATGGAAGTAAGTATCTACTCATTGTCTGTTTGGTTTCCTGGGGGCCATGCTAATGAATTACAAACCATGTATCTGAAAACAACAGAACTCTTCTCTCACAGTTATGGAGCCCAGAATTCAGGTCTTGTATGCTGAGTTTTGAAGTGTTCTCTTCCCTATGTGGATCTGATTAAAGACCTTGCCCCATTTACTCCCCTTGGTTACCCTATTTTACCTGATTAGAATACTGTCCAATTTTCCTCCCATTGGTTACTTTAGAATACTGTCTACTTTATCCCCATTGATTATTTTAGAATACTGAACCTCTGGAGGGAATTGCCACTCATCTCCCTATCTTGTCCTCCAGTGGCATTTTTCTTATATCCTGCCTCTGCCATCTTGGTGTCCCCGAACTCCTGCTTAACATTTCTGCTTAACATTTTCCCCTGAGAAATATGATCTCAAAATTCTTTTTGGGGGGCTGAGAAGCTGACATTTTCTTACAGCTGCTTCAGGCTGACAGTGGACTGTTGTTCTTCTCTATTTGGGATTCACAGAACTCTTGCCCTGTCTGGTTAAGAGGAGACAGCGGAATGCCTGGGTCCATTTGTGGGATCAGTTTGTAGCCTTGTTGTAGTACCAGCTGGAGTTTGATTGCCTTTAAGTGAGAGGAGAGAAGTCTTATTAGGTAGGTTTAATAGGCAGGGTCCAAATAACAAAATCAAAAGGAGTATTAAAAGGGGTCCTGCCAAGGATAGTAACCAAGACATCCAGTTCTACAATTTTGACTATGACTGTGACTTTGACTGTGACTTTACTTCCAAATTTTGGAGGCTTGGTATGTTAATTTCTTTGCTGCACTCATAATTATCTCAGATTGATTTGCATAAAAGCCACATTCTTCTTCCAATAAGAGACATAATCTCCCTTTCCCAGCAGTTAACAAATCTAGTCCCATTCTGTTTTGGAGAGTGACTGCTGCTAATGAATCTGATTTTAAAGGGAATTATGCTTTTCACTATTTCAACTAGGCCACGGGAAAGATCTTTAGACAAGCTCTGAAAATTAAAAGGGAGGTGGTTAGCCCCTCTACCCCTGTGCCAGTTGGCTGCTGGGAATTCTTGATGTTCCTTGGCATGGATGCACTCCATTCTAATTTTGCTTTGGTCTTCACATGGCCTTCCCCTGTGTCTCTGTTACAGATCTTTTCTTTCTTGTAGACAAAAATCACTAGATTTAGAGTGAAATGAGATGATTGTGTGAAATAAGATCAGCTCATCTTAAGATCCTGGATTTAATGATATTTTCAAAGACCCATTTGCTAAATTAGGTCACATTCATAGGCATCCAGGATTAGAATTTGAAATTATTTTTTGGGGACATTATCTAACTCATTATACTGTCTCTTGTTTTTAAAGAAGACTATTTCCTTGACTTCATTTTTGGGGGGTTGTAAAGATTTTTTCTTAAGTTCCTCCCCATGGTTAATAATAGATTAGAACTTTATGGAAAAATTTTGGGTTTCAAGTTTTGAGTACATTAGTTTTGAATATTCTTTCAAATACTTTGTAATTATTCTCATTTTTTTGTTTCTGTAATGTGTTTTTACTGAAGGAAGGATTGTCAAAACTAGAATTTTGAATTTGTTTATTTGCATGAGGTACAATGGATACCATTTATGGTCTGTTTAGTGATGTCATTTATATTATTTTAAAAAATCCTTGATAAGTCATCTCTATAGCACTAAAATGAGCTGGCTCCTTTCTTCAACCATATACTGTAGGTAAAATGTAATAAGACAAATATCAGTTTGCTGATAAATTGCTACCAGGAGCAAATGCATAAACAAGAACATAAATAAAAGCAAAATAAACCAGATACCTACAATCAACTGAAAAATAAATAAACAAAAATGTTTTTCATAAAATATTGAAGCTTGTTAGTTTTGGAGATTGGCTTGATTTCAAGTTTGGTTTGCTCCAAAACTAGAGAACCAGTCCCTGAGAAAGTCCTTTCACTAGCCCAGGAAGTATCTCCAGAACTGCCAAAAGCAAATTTCCAGCTAGTGTGGCTGCAATGGCAAGAAAAAATTTAAAAGGAGATTTTGTTGAGCCTGAACTTCAACAGACTACCTTAACTCTCTAGACAAAGAGAGTTCTTATTGCCAGCCAGGTGGCAAGCAGTTTGTCTTTTTGCATACTTTCTTAGATCACTTTTGGCATCCAACCCAACCAAGTAGGGTTCTCTGGAAGCAGACACTAAGATGGTACTTGGCATGCAAGGTTTTTATGGGGATCAATATCAGAAAGTAAAGAGGAGAAGGAGAAACTGGGCAGGGGGGAAAGTAGAACAGTAGAAGTACAGGCCTAATAAAGCCTTGGCCAGCCCCATAGAAAGCCTGTGTGTTTTGTCAGAATTGTCCTACATTGAGCCTAAATGGCTGGGACTTTATAACCCCATGTATCTCAGTCTGGATGTGTACCACTCTAAGGAAGATAAAGCCTTGGGGCTGGTGAGATGGACCCTGGAGGGCTGGTTAGGTGGTAGCTTACTTCTACATGGGAGCAATTGGTTCTTCCTTGGAGGGGAATCTAGGCAGTGTATCTCTGTCCATCACAGAGGGCATCTTGTAAGATGGATGATGGGAAGTGAAATGAATTCAGATTTCTACAGTAAGTTCACTTGATTGTCCCACATATAATATCTTGGGTGGATAAGATAACATTTGTTATAGGGTTGGTTTTAAAAGTAGCTTTATGAGGAGTGTATGTTTGATAGAGACACAACATATCAGAAAACTTATTTAGTGAGGTGTCCAAATTAGGTGATCTGGGGTATTCTTTGATTCAAAACTCTACTTTCTTTATTATTGAGTCTTTGGTATTAAAAATACTTAGAATCTAAGCAAAGAAATTTTTGTGTCATAGATAATTAAGCAATATGAAAAGGCAGAAATAATTCAAAACAAAATTTCTACCAATAGTTGAAAATAAATAAGGCCTTCCTTGTCTGAAATTGCAATGTCAAGGTATATTTTCCCTGAAGAGCTTCTTTTTCACCTTTTCTTATTCTCCCTGCTTTAGTGGCAGCATGTTTAATAATTTAGACCTCCAGTACTTTCTTGTTCTTTGTTTCCTATTAGAATGTAAAGTACCATGACCTCCTGGGCTTCTTGTTGCTCTCTTGAGGTAAATTTCAGCCTTCTGTGACTCCCTCCAAAAAAATTAAATCCAACTCCAAAAGCTTCAATAAAGTTGATTTAAGAAAATTTTAGGAGAACATGGGATGAGGTAACTTCATGCATATTTTTCTATAAAATGTTGTAAATGAATCTTTAATCTTTCCTCCATAATATTTCTTCCTGTTTCCTTCCTTCCTCCCTAAAATACTCTTTAGCTATTTTAGGCATATTTAGCCTCTTTTATCAAGACAAAAACTTACTGATTTATGAAGAACTAAAAACAAAACAAAAATCTATAGTTATGAACCTGTTATTGTCCATGCATGCTCTCAGGGCTCTTCAACTCATCCTGTCACACTATCAATATAAGAAAAGTTCTGACACATGTTTATTCTTACTGATCATGGCAGAAGGGCATCTTTCATTCTTGAACTGATTTTCTGTCTCTGTATTATTAATTTCAATCTAAGCTGCCATAAGCAAGAAATGCCTCAAAATGCTCATATAAAAAAGACCAGCATTTTATTTCTTTTACCCATTGGTTCAAAGACTGGGATATAGGGCTGGTATAAGGTTACATTGCTGTTCTTGACATCTAGCTTCCATCTCTGGTCTAAGGTGGTTGTTTGGATTCTCACATTTGTATTCAGCCAGTGGAAGAGAGACAGGCAAGAAGAGTGCTGTATATTCCTTTGAAGGATATGACCCAGAAGTGGTGGATATTATTCATTCTCACTGGTAGAACTTGTTGTTATACCCACCTGCAAGGGGAAGCTAGAAATGTTACCCTAGCTGGGTGCCTAGCCAAAACTTTGGAGTTGTATAATGTAATGAAAGGGAAGATAGACATTGTTAGACAAGTAATTGTCTCTGCTATGGTATTTTTCTGCCTCTCAAATATGAACTTTTATTTTCTTATATAACATTGTGCCCTCTTCCCAAGGGAGATCCACAAATACCCATCCATTTATAGCATCCAAGATTGGATAGGTATCCCTATTATCTGCCAAGTTATCTGCCCTCCTTTATACCCAAACTTAATAGTGGAAAAGGGATAAGATAACTGTACTAGAAACACACATTTGCAAAGGGAAGATTTCAGCAGCAAGTCATTGCAACTTCCAAATCCTGCCAGCAGTGGAAGCTCCTTGAACTAGAAGTGGAGAATGTGGTTTGCTTGGACCCTGGCTCAGCTATTTGAGAGGACTTTGTTACCATGGATCTAGACTGTGCCCTTTTCGTTGACCCTGCTATTATCTTCTACATGTACACCTAAAGTAAGTGTTGGAGAATGTGCTTTTCCTGGAGGCTCTACCACTTTTGCAGCCTGTATCAGTTTGCTGTCAGATTGCTACCAGGAGCAAATGCTTAAACAGGAACATAAATAATTATGTTTTGTGTTGATAGAGACATATATGAGGCATTGTGATTTCTTTGGCAATGTGATTTACTCAAAAATTTAGTAGGATTCTACTTTATTTGATTAGAGTCCTTACCATGTGAAGTTTTACATAATATTCCTTTATTGTCCTTTTATTACCTAAAGAACATGTAGTAATATCCCTTCTCTCATTCCCATTATTGGCAATTTTCTCCTTTTTTACTTGATAAGCCTTCTTTTAGGTTAATTAATTTATTGATATTTTCAAAGTACCCAGGTTTGGGTTTAATTTTCTCTTTTTTTTTTTGGTTTTCTAGTTCATTGATTTCTATTTTTATCTTTATTATGTCTTCCTTTTGCTCTCTTTGGATTAAATTTTCTCATCTTTATCCAGCTTCTACTACATTTTCTTCTAGAGACTTTACAGTTTTATTTACATAATAAAACATTTATTCCACTTAACCCTATATAATTTATGTCAGATAGAGGGTATAACTTAATTTTATCCAGTTTAATCAGTTTTTCAAATACTGTTTATTAAATAATCTCTTCTTTTCCTCCATGCTAGGCTGTGCTTATCTATATAAATCGATTTATGGGATTTTCATTGCACTTTTTCTATTGGGTCACTTATATGTTCTATATCAGCATATGATTTGCCATGTGCTAATTGCTATGTCTTTGTAATATGTCTTAATAGACATGTAATTCTTTCTTTATAAATAATTTTCTTTGAGTACTCACTAAACCTTTTGCTTATGCTTAACCTATTTTGTTGACATTTTTTGCCAAATTTTCAGACAATTTTTGTCAGTAAATATATTTTTCTTCTCAATTATGCAAATAAATACCAATTTTATAATCTTCATCAAATAAATTCCCATTGCACATTTTTTACGTGCCCAGGAATCCATACTAATAAGCCATATATGGTCAGTTTTCATTATTTATATGTTTTCATTACTTACATACTTGAGAATTAGCTTATCCGCTAAAATTTCATGGTTACCCCAAAATTAGTGATCTGAGTACTTTCATAGTCATTGACAGATATGCATAGAGCAACAAAAAAATGAGTCATATAAATGCCACATTCCCAGATAAGGTAAGATAAAGAAAAGCTCTTCCTTCTTGTTCACTTCTCATACTGTAAACACGTGTTCTTTTGTGGTGTATTTAGTGTCATGTTTTGCACATTTGTGCTATTTCTTGGTAATTTCATTGTTTCAAATGTTCCCCAAGCATAGTACTGAAAAACTGTGTAGTGTTTATAAGTGCAAAAAATTTATGATTTGACCAGTGTAACTCCACATCATGTATAACCACAAGAATGGGTAGTTATACTCTATGTATGTGTGATATATCAAAGCATGTTCTAGGGACTGGGGTTGTGGCTCAGTGGTAGTGCACTTGCCTGGCACATGTGAGGCACTGGGTTCAGTCCTCAGGACCATATAAAAAAATAAACAAATAAAACAAAGGTATTGTGTCCATTTATGATTAAAAGTGTTCTTTTTTTTTAAAGACACCTTCTACTATCAAGTATAACTAAAAAGAACAAATTAAAAAAAAAAAGAAATAACTTGTCTAAAATTTAGTCAGGAGTCACTAAGTGGTCTTGGTTGATAAAAATACATGTAAATTAAAATAGAGTGATAATCCAAGTTTTCAAAGGGGATAGTATCCCATATCCTTGTAGTGTATGAGAGCCAATAATTATAATTTTAGCTACTCTGACAATTATATAATGGTATTTCATCGCATGTTTTGTGGTAATTTCCCTGATTTGCAGTGAAGTTGAACAACTTTATGAGCATATAATTTAGTGTACTTTTTAAGTAGCTTGTCTATCTTTTTTAAAATTACAGTATTACTCATATATCCTGTATGTGTCAATTATGTATACTATAAATATATTTCCCATTCTGTGAAAAAAAAAAGCTTGTGATGTGTTTTAGATAAACATTGACCAGGCATGAATTTTAGCGAGTTCAGTGTTAATCAAGATACATATTAAACAACTTGTCTTTAAATAGAAACCCACATAAAATAAGATTGTATATTGACTGATTGATAAAAATGTTGTGACCTGAAGCTTGTAGGAACATAAACTCTAAAGAGTAATGCACTTCCCTTAGGAGTTAATGGTTGCTTTCACTACTTCAGTGTTTGTGGCTACTTTATAAAACATAACTTGTGCAAATACCCAGAATCCACTGTATTTACAGTTCTCTTTAATAGGAAATGTAGTCATCATGACATGTTGTAGTGAGAAAAGGGTAGGCTTCAGAAAATTGAGGATTCTTCCCAGCCCTGATACTCTTCTCCTATGCTGTTATCCTTCTTCTGATTACATCCTTAGTTATGTGGCTATTCTGAGTTTTACATACATTTTACTCTATAGACAGATTTTTTAAAACAATTCAAAAGTAATACAAATGCTCACAGAAGAAATTAAAATGATAAAGAATAGTATAAAATGAAAAGAATAAAGATTCTTTCTTGTGCCCCAGCACTTCATCTGAATCTCTAGATGTTAATGACTTCTTTCTGATTACTTTCAGAATGTTAATGCATAGTTAAGTATCTACTTCTCTAGCTTAATTTTCTTTAAAAAATAAATGAAAGTTACAGCTCCCTTCTCTATTTGCTCATATTAACTTCTTATTTTAGAAATTTGTCTGTGTTAGCACATTATCTCCTTTATTATTTCCCATTTCTCTATAGTAGTCTATTACTACATCAAAACAATTTATATAATTATTCCTCTATTGGCAGACATCTCAGTTTTCCCAGTTCTTTGCTAATATAATAATCAGTGCTACAAAAAAGCCTTTTATTTGTGCTCTTGAAAAATTGAATTTGTTAGTGAGCCATCTTTACAGTTCACATTGATTTCTTTAAATGTCACATTCTTCCTTTTTCTTTGGAATTACTTGCAATTATTTATCCATATTTTGTAAGTTAGGTTTTTTTCCCTTAGGCTGTATTCTTCCTTTCAGAGGCTTTGCCCATCAGATAGATATGGGTGTGAATATTCATATCCATTCTGAGTTTTCCTGAAGTTCTGATAATGAACAATATGTTTTTAGTTCCTAAGTGGAGCTCCAAGATGAGAGGATTACATTCTTCTATGATTTGTAACACTTTTGAGGGGAGGGGTGTCTCAATTAAATATTGAGTGTCCTACTTTGCTGCTTCCTAACCTTCTCTACAATTTATTAAATATCATTTATAAATTATATAAATAACTATATTAGATTATGACTATCATTCTCAAAGTCAACTTTATATAAGAAAAGTAGTAAGATAACAAATGATGCACCACAATATTGAGAATGGTTATATTTAGGGATGGAACTACAGATGACTAATTTTCTATATTTAAAAAATAGCATTTAAAACAACATTTTAAAACATCTGTCATATATTCTGCTTTTGGCAGAATTAGGTTTACAGCAAATGTTCAAGTGACTTAAATTTCCCAGCACAGTATATCTTGTCCTGGTGCTAGCTTCGGAAACTGTGTTAGGAAAACATTATATCCTCTGGCTGGCCTGAGATCTGTTGCCTCTTTTCAAGATGATATAATGTCTGTTTTTCTTTTGTTTTGTCCTTGTCCAAAAGCTCTTCACCAAAATCTGAGAATAAACTAAAAAGAGACATCCACTAAGATAAGTGTGCCCCCACACCCTCCCAAGGCATGCTTCACATTCATGCAAACACTTGCTCACTTACACAAACACACACAAATACTCATTAGAACTTCTCCATTGTGCCTGAAAGCAGGCAGCACTGAGGCCAATCACAAGTATTATTCATCAAATCTAAACACATTTCACCAGGCTTTTTTCTGGCAACAATAGGAAGACTTGATTATTTGTATAGGAGAATTATTTCCAGTCATTAGATTTAGACTACAGATATTTTTTAAAATGTGAATGCTGCATCTTTTGTTATGCAGAAAGAAATTCTTAAGGAGGGACAAAATTATAACATATTAACAAGAGAATTGGATTATGTCCACAGAGTGCTATTTGTCCTATACCAGTGATTTCATGGTATAGTTATATTTGAGTTATAAAATTCTGTCAAATTAATTTCTCATCTTACATAAGAACATGTAAAAACTCCATCATATTAATAAAATGAGAAGTATTCTTTATATTTAAAAATTCAGAGTCTGTTTTTTGTGTTTATTTTCTTGGTAAATTTGCCAGAAAATATACAACTATTACCTGAATTCAGATATAGGAATTTATGCTGTTATTTCTGGAGATCCTTTGCATCATTTTGATATCATTGATATCTACTAGAGACCTTTGTAGGCACTATAGAAGTAGAGTTGATAGGCCAGTTTTAAATGGAAAAATTTCATATCCAAAGCTAGGGCCTTAGAGTTACGTGATTAAAAGCCTGGGCTTTGAAGTCAGGTTTTGAATCCCAGATCTACCACATATTAGCAGTGTGACTCTAAGTTAATTAGCCTTTCTAAATATTCACTATTTTTGCCTGATTTAAAAGCAAACAAGTATCAATAATAACAAGAGCTAGCTGATATACATTCTCATTCCCAGTGTTCTCAGCTCTGCACAATACTGATTCCACAGGGCCTTAAGGAGCTGCTTTAAGGCTAATGCCTCATTGATGTTTTGCTTTGTTTTACCTCATCAACGCTGTTTTGTCCAGGCAGATGAATGGCCTAACTAATAGAGAGTTCATTTAATATAAATGCTTTAAGGTTTAGCAAAGCTTTGAAGTTTTTGGTCAGAAGAATGTCTAGAAGCACATTAGTAATTCATAAATTAGTATAAAAAAGGAAAAAGAAAATGCTAAATGTTAAACAGTGGGCACAATTCAAAGTTTCTGTTGCTGTTTTAAAAGAATTGAGAAACATTTTGGAAGTTATGAGTAGTCCAGGTACAGCGTAAGCCTCTTTCTTTTTAACACACAGCCCTTGGGACACAAAGAGCCTCTCTCTACAGTTATAAAAGCAGTTCTCATGGGTTGGTTCTGTTTCTCATCTGAAAGGAAAACTCCTGTACCTGGGAAAGCCTTTTCTGGTAATAGAAGCCAAAGGCAATGTTTGGATCTACCATTAAATTAGAGCCTATTGGGAGTTTTGGAAAAGAAAAAAACACCTCATTTGTTCCAGAAACAGTGTTAAACATTGCCTAGCTCATAGTAGGACATAAAGTTATGTTTGATGAGTAGTTGGATGAGGAGATAACTTGGAGATGTCTCTCTATGTGTTCTGACTTCAGAGGCACCAGAAACTGTTCAGCCGGGTGCCACAGCCCAGCCTGCCAGCTCACATTCTTTGCCACACATCAAGCAGCAGCTGTGGAATGAAGACTGCTACCATGGCAAGCTGAGCAGGAAGGCAGCTGAGAGCCTTTTGGTAAAGGATGGGGACTTTTTGGTTCGGGAGAGTGTGACATCCCCTGGGCAGTATGTACTGAGTGGACTACAGGGAGGCCAGGCAAAACATCTTCTCCTGGTGGATCCTGAAGGCAAGGTATCATTGATTTTTCATTACACATTTCATAGAATATTGTCTATTAAGGTTACTCTGAATGGTATCCAAAACTTGAGATTGAATAGTGTTTATGTTTAAGCATTTACTTTTTCTTGAACCTTCCATCTAGAGCAAGAGGTGCTAAGTAGGGACTAGTGGAAGAATTAGAGTGGGAGGCCAGGCTGGAACATTAAGTTAAGGATAATCTCTCTCTGTCCTTCTCATTCAATCCAATGAACACCTACTACATGAAAGTACAAGGATTCAGCTGTGCTCTTATTGACTCTTGTTCAGTGTCACATAAGTAGTTCTTGCTCTCAGGAGGCTTATAATTTCATAAAATAGTGTTTAAATAATCATAACATAAAGCCAAATGAGATAAGGATGGTTCAACCAAAACATTATAATGTTTCTCAGTACAGAGAGATCATTGTGGTTGAGACAAACTGGGAAAACTTCTTATAGGATCTGACATGTTAGGTAAACTATGAAAGAGTGAAGAATTTAAAAAGGGCATTTGGAGTACAGTGAAGGAGTGATAGGAACAGATGGAGTAATAGGATGGTATTAAGCCAATAGAAGATGTATGGGTGGAGCAGAGAATAACCTGTAGACATCTGGAAACGTTCTTTGGAGACGATGTATAGGGTGGAAATGCCTAATTTTCTAGACATTGGGGAGGCATTAGCAGTTTTAGAAGAAGGGAATGATACATGAAGAGGTGACATCAACCACAATAACAGCAGTAGTCCCAGTCCTCATTCTCCAACAGAAACACTGATTTGAAAATTCTGTATAGACCAAAATACTTTTATGAGAATCTTGGAATCCAGTTAATAAGTTAAAGTTGTCAAGGTGAGCATAAAACTGGGAATTATCAAGTTGAAATTGCTAAAAAGAGCAATTCCACTTTACCTATGGCAGTTCTCTCAAGCCAGCATAGCTTGGTATCAGGAGAGAATGCTCTGGCTCATGACTTCTCCCTTCAAGGGTGAAAGAGAATGCATGGGATGGGAAGCATGCATCCCGTCCATTGCTCCAACTTTTCAGAGGACTGCCTGAGAGACTGGTTTCTGTCTTGCCTCATATGGAGCACCAATGGACTTGGCATAATGGGATGCATCAGAGCTGATGAGAACAAAGAACACAAAGTAGCTTGCTGCAGGTATTCTTTGCACAACCAGGAAACAGTGTACAACATGAGACTTTTCCTTCAGGAAGGGGTAGAACAAAATTTACATCCAGCATTCTGACTCTTTGGAGGGGCTCCTAATGGCCTGAAATCTCTCTTGGGTTGCTGATGGGAAGTCAGGATATCTTGGAAGTCCATTGGCTACTGAGAACAATAGTGAGAGACTTGCAGCTATAGAACAAAGGAGCTTGCAGTGCCATAAAAAGATACCAGAAAGAGGAAGAGAGTTTGAGCTTCTAAAAACTTGGCCTCTCTAATTGAGAAATTGAGTAGACAGGCCCAGAGAAGTTTCATCTCCCCTCCATAAAAGGTTTTAGAGGCACCCAGAATCTCTAGCTGGTCTGATTGGTGAGTATATTCCCATATGTGAAGATAGTCTGTAAGGATTGATAGACGTAGCTGTTTTTCATGTGTGTGGATCCCAACACAAAGTTATGAGACACAAGAAGAGGCAGGGAAACATTGTCCTAACAAAGGAACAAGGTACATCTGCAGAAGCTGATCCTAAAGAAATAAAAGTATGCTTGCCTACCATGTGTGAAGCCTTGGATTTGGTCCTCAATGCTGCAACAACAAACCTTGCTGATTATTTGAAGCTGAGAACGTAGCTTAGTGGTGGAGCGCTTGCCTAGCATGTGCAAGGCTCTGGATTCAATCCCCAGCACGCACACTCACACACTCACACATCCAAACACCCACAATTAATTAATTTTTTAATTAATTTTAAAAGGGAAATAGAGTTATCTGAATTACCTGACAAAGTAAAAGAGGTACCTGAATTCAAAGTAACCATCATAAAAGATGCTGTATGAGCTTAGGAACACAAACCATGAACAAAATGAAAAGCCAGCAAAGAGAAACAAAATATAAAAAGGAATCAAATAGAATTTTTGTAGCTAAAGAATATAACTGAACTAAAAACAACAAGTTTCCTCAAACAGAAGGAAGAATTAGTGAATAAATGATCTTGAAGGTAAGTCATTTAATATTGTCCAGACCCAGGTACAAAAAGAAAAAAAAAGATAAGGATGCCTAAAGGACTATGGGACACCATCAGATGGACAGGAATCCAAAAAGTCAAACACAGAAAGGGAATAGAAAGCTTATTTAAAGAAATAATAACTGAAAGTGTCCCAAACTTGGGGAAGAAAATAGACTTCGGACTCAAGAAGCTCAATAGACTTCAACTATGAGAAATTCAAAGGAGTATACACCAAGACATAGTATAATCAAATCATCAAAACAGAGAGAGTTCAAAAGCAGCAGGAGAAATGTTCATCATGTACAAAAGAACTCACTTAAGATTATCAATGGATTGCTCATATTTTCCACAAAACAATGAGTGGATTTGATATATTCAATATTCTGAAAGAAAAAAATTTCACCATTCAAAAGTACTACATCTGGCAAAAAAAAAAAAAAATGACAGATGAGATAACCAAAATCTGAAGGTGTTCATCATCACTATCCATCCCTTACAAGAAATGCTAAATGGAATTCTTTATGATGAACCAAGCAACATGAAAATTTAAAGGTCATTGGTAAAGGTAAATATTATAGACAAAGAATACTGTAACACTGTAATGGTGGTGTATAAATAGCTTTTAATTCTGGTATAGAAAATAAGACAAAACTATAAACAATAACTATAAAAATATATTAATGGATATATGGTATGAAAATATGTAATTTGTGAAAGCAATAATAGTATGCATGTATAGAATTTAAAATGTACAGTATTTATATACTGTTGAAGTTGCTACTAATAGCTTAAAATAGATTATTATCATTTAAGATGTTTTTTGTAAGCCCTATGGTAACTACAAATAACATACCTAAAGAAGATACACTAAAGAAATTGACAGCTATTGGTACATGCCTGTAATTCCAGTCGCTCAGGAGGCTGAAGCAGGAGGATCACAAGTTCAAAGTCAGCCTCAGCAACTTAGTGAGGCCCTAAGCAACTTAGTGAGACCCTGTATCAAAATAAAAAATGTGCTGGGGTTGTGCATTAGTGGTTAAGTGCCCTGGGTTCAATCCCTGGTACAAAAAAATAAGACAAAGAAGTCAAAACATGTCACCACACAAAAAAATCAGTGAAATATAAAGCAAGACAGCAAAAGGTAGGTCAAAAAAAGACAGAAAACAGTTAATAAAATGGAGAGTTTTTTCCTATTAATAACTACTTTAAATGTAAATAAATTAAAGTTCACAATCAAAAGACTAAGTGGCTGAATAGATTTTTTTTTAAAGTTGCAAAGATATGTTATCCACAATGGCTCACTTTAGATTTTTTTGGTTTGTGTTGGGGGGAGTACTAGGGATTGAATTCAGGGATATTTGACCACTGAGCCGCATCCCCAGGCCTATTTATTTTTAATATTTATTTTTTAGTTGTAGTTGGACATGATACCTTTATTTTATTTATTTTTCTGTGGTGCTGAGGATTGAACCCAGGGCCTAGCCCATGCTAGGGCTACACTCTACCGCTGAGCCACAACCCCAGCCCTCCCCAAGCCTGTTTTGTATTTTATGTAGAGACAGGGTCTCACTGAGTTGCCTAGTGCCTCGATTTTGCTGAGGCTGGCTTTGAACTCTCCATCCTCCTGTCACTGGGGTTTAGGTGTGTGCCACTGCATGTGGCTCACTATAGATTTAAAGACACATGTAGCTGAGATTAAAAGGATAGAAAAAGATTTACCATGCAAATGATAATCAAAAGAAAGCAGGAGTGGCTGAGTTTATATTAAACACAAATAGACTTTGTCAAAAACTGCTAAAAGTGTTAAAGAAGGACATTATCTACATTTTTGTGCCACTTTTCCCCTTTTTCTGTCTTGCTTTGTGTTTCTCTTTCTTTCTTTTATTTTTTTGAGGTAACATCTTTGATTCCTTTCATTTTCTTTGTGTATCTTCTATAGGGATTTTATTTGTAGTTACAATGGAGCTTACATAAACAATTTATAGTCATAATAGTTTATTTTGAACTGATAATTTATTAGAATGTTAATTATAAGTGTATATAAATCCAAGAGCAGAGCACAAATATGTGAAGCAGAACTGAAGGGAGAAATAGAAAGCAGCACAGTGTTATTAGGGGATTTCATTACCTACTTTTCAATAATGAAAAGAATATCAGAAAGAAGACCAATGAAGAACAGAGAACTTGAAGACACTATAGACCAAATGGATCTAATAGATGTATACAGCAGCAGAATACACATTTTACTTAAGTATATACATAGTAAATTCACCAGGATAGGTCACATGCTAGGACACAAAACAAGTTTTTAAGAAATTAAAGATTGAAATAATACCAAATATCAATGGAAGAAAGACTAGAAATTGTAAAAGGAAAACAGTTATTTTTACAAATATGTAGAAATTAAACAACACACTCTTGAGCAAGCAGTGGGTTAAATAAGAAATTTAAAAGAAATTAGAAAATATCTTGACAAATGAAAATGAAAAATACTGTATTAAACTCACAGAATGCAGCAAAATCCTTACTGAGAGAGAAGTTTATAGTGACAAATGCCTACATTGAAAAGAAGAAAGATCTCAAATGATCTAAATTTATACCCCAAAGAATTAGAAAAGTAAGACAAACTAAGCTCAAATTTTATAAAAAGAAAGAAAGAACTAAGATTAGAGTATGTATTGCTTAGCTTTGTATTAATCCAAGGGAATACCTAAGGCAGCTGATTTTATAAAGAAAAAGTTTTGTTTAGTTCATAGTTTGGAGACTGAAAATCCAAAAGGCACAATGTAGGTTCGATGGTCATCCCTGGGTCACATCACTTCATGACACAGATGCAATGGTGGCTGCATGTGCAGGAGAAGTAAGTTATTACATTTTGAACCAGGAATAGAGAGGAGGCTGGGAGCCAACTCAGGCTCTCATTATATTCCTCTTGAGAACTGCCAAGGAGTTCTAAAAGAACTACCTTCTGAGGGCACACTTCTAATGACTTAAGGAACTATCTTTAGACTTTACCTTACAAAGGTTCCACAGCACTTCCTAGTAATGCCTCTGTGAGGACCAAACCTTTAGTCATAATGAACCTTGGAGAGTCACTCAGATTATAGACAAACCAGAGCAGAGCATAAACAAATGGAAAAACAATAGAAAGCAATAGAGAAAAATCAGTGACACTAAGAATTGTTTTTTTGAAAACAAAGAAAATTGAGAAATCTTTAGCCAAGATAACTAAGAAAAATAAGACAAGTAAAATAAGAAATGAGGACACTACGTAATTAAAAGAATTATAAGATACTACTATGTATAATTATCTGCCAGGAAATGGATAAATTCTTAAAAATCTAAACCTACCAAAACTGGATCATGAGGAAATAAAAAATCTGAATATACCTACAACTGGTAAGGAGATTGAATCAGTAATCAAAAATCTCCCAACAAAGAAAAGCTCAGGACCAGTTTTTTTTTAGATTCAATGAAATCCCAATGAGTTTTTCAGATAGACATAGGAAAAATACTCCTAAAATTTATATGGAACCACAGAGAACCCTGAGTAGCCTGAACAGTCTTGAGAAAGACAGTGCTGGAGGCCTTATATGCCTGATTTCAAAACATATTTAAAAGCTGTATTAATCAAAATAATATGGTTCTAACACCTAGATTAATAGATTAGTAAAGAGAGTTCAGGATTGAGCCCATTTATATGGTCAAATGACCTTCAACAAGGGTGCCAAAACTACATCATGGGAAAAGGATAGTGTCTTCAACAAATGAGGCTGGGAAAATTGAATATTCACATGGAAAGAAAGAAAGAGAGAAGGAGGGGGAGAGAGAGAGAAAAGAGAGAGGAAGGAAGGAATAAAGGAGTGAGGGAGGGAAGGAAGGTAGAAAGGAAGGAAGGATGGATAGACAAAAATCAACTCAAAATAGGATTAAATGGGGGCTGAGGTTGTGGCTCTGTGGTAGAACTGTGAAGAACTGGGTTTGATTCTCAGCATTACATAAAAATAAATAAATAAGATAAAGGTATTATGTCCATATACAACTAAAAAATTTTTTTAAAAAATAGGACTTAAATGTAGAATTTTAAGTAAAAAAATTTCTAGGAGAACATAGAGGAAAAGCTTCTTAACATTGGTGTTGGCAGTGATTTCTTAGATAAGATTCCCAAAGCACAGACAGACTCAGAAACAGAAAATAAAATGGTGTTTGCCAGTCCCTGGGGATAGGGAGAAATGAGAAGTTGCTGTTTTATGGGTATACAATCTCAAGTCATACTAGAGAAAGTTCTAGAGACCTGCTGTACAACAGTGTGCTTCTAGTTAACAATACATTTTAAAGTGTACTATATATTTGAAATCTCTTGAGAGAGTAGATCTCATGTGTTTCTTTTTTATCACAATTTCTTAAAAAGCCTACGTGGGTGGGATTGTAACTGTAAATGTCTTCAGGGTCCAACCAATACTATAAGTGAGTAAAAGTGGGAAGATGATGGAGCGAGCATAGGGTGCAGTGGGTCTGCTGAACTATAAAACACCCAGTCACCATTCAATTCCAAACAGTTGCTGCCTAGTAGGGCAAGATTTGATTTTTCCAAAGAAGCCACAAAACCAGAGTTTTATATAAACTCTTCCCATTTTCAGTTCAAAATACCTAGAACTCTCCTACTTAAAAATGCTCCCTAACCTAATCCCCAGCAAACTATAACATCTGGTGTTTTTGGCCAGAGAATGGAACCTTTCAATCTCCATACTAGGAGGATTAATTTAATAATTTATATGTTGGATCCATTATAGAGAAGGGTAAGACCAGGGAAAGAGAAAAGTAATTAGGAGCTTCTAGGTAAGAAGCAGTGAAAGGCTGAACCAGAATGGAGGCAGGAAAAATACAGAGGGGAAGCAGAATGATTTTGAATTAACAGTACTGGTGGGGCTGTAAATTGGTGTATCCAATGTGGAAAGCAGTATGGAGATTTCTTGGAAAATTGGGAATGGAACCACAATTTGACCCAGCTATCCCTCTCCTTGGTCTTTGCTCAAAGGACTAAAAAACAGCATTCTGCAGGGATACAGCCAATCAATGTTTATAGCAATACAATTCACAGTAGCTAAACTGTGGGACCAACTTAGATGCCCTTCAATAGATGAATGGATAAAAAAAAAGTGGCATATATTTACACAATGGAATATTACTCAGCAATAAAAGAGAATAAAATCATGGCATTCGCAGGTAAATGGATGGAGTTAGAGAAGATAATGCTAAGTGAAGTTAGCCAATCCCAAAAATCCAAATGCTGAATGTTTTCTCTGGTATAAGGAAGCCGATTCATAGTGGGGTAGGGAGGGGGAGCATGGGAGGAACAGAGGAACTCTAGATAGGGCAGAAGCATGGGAGGGGTAGGGAAGGGGTATGGGGTTAGAAATGATGGTGGAATGTGATGGACATTACTATCCAAAATACATGTATAAAGACACACACACACACACACACACAAAAGAACATAGCATGGCAGGATTGGTTAGCTGAATTGATGTGAGGTGGGGATGAGATGGAAGAGATAAAAACTTCTACAAGGTTTGGAGCCATTTGAGAGTTAGTTGAAGTCATTGTGCCCTTTTCCTCCAAATCCTTGAAAGTGTATGTATTAAAATTAGGGATATTCTCTTTTGTAGCTATTGTAAAATAATAATCAAAATAGGAAATTTAATATGACTATAATATTATTATCTAATTTATAGTTCCTATTATTTGAATTCTGTCCATTAATAAGTATATGTATATTTAATATGCCAAAACCCAATACCTTGGCAGAACTCAAAAGAATCCCTTGTAGGAAAACTAGTAGAATTACATAACAAGGTACCCCCTGATTATACACCATCCTCCCCTTGATGATTCTTCATCTACCTTCTGAACAGGAGCAGATGTATGCTAAACTGCCAAGCTAATAGCAATGATGAATAGTATTGTATGTCTTCTGTCCATGCATAGATTGAGGATGCAATAATACTAGGAAGGAAATTCCACAGAGGAAGGCCTGGCATAGGAAAATAGAGTTCCTTTGGCATGCAGACCGTAAGTTCTGTGCAGAAAATATTTATGAATCAGCTACTTTATGAAGTCTGCTGGAAGGAGACATGAATGCCTATTAAAAAAAGGTCTGAGGAGGTTTCTTGGAGGAGACAGAATTTGTGTTTAGCCTCCAAGGAGAGGTCAGACTTCTCTTCCTGTAGAGACAAGGTAATATGAAAACACACAGCTTAATGGAAGATAAATTTAATCCTGGGATTTACTCTTGAATATAAATCAGTTAAATATTTATAGTATTGGCAAAAGGATAGAGTATATGAAATAATAACAACACAAAGAGGCTGGTTGCAAATTTGAATTGAGTGACAAGTGCTTACCATTTCTTCACTGTAGGATGGTTTCTGTAAAAAGGTAATGAGACATGAGAAAGTTGTTTATTAGGGAAAATAGAGTTGAAAAGTGATTTTTATACTTTATTCAGCAAAATTACTACTTTAGGGATAGGTCTGGAAAACACACATTATTGTCATTATTCTCTCACCCTCTCTACCAAAAAAATAAAAGATGATTTAAAAGATGGTAATCAGAAGTACTATTCTTCATATTCAAAATTCAAATTGGTTCCCTTCTTATTGAAACTACACAATTTATTTGCTTTCCTTTCCCCACCCCAACTATCTATATCTTTCAGAAGAAGTACTCTTATTTAACCTAAATATATTTATACTTGCTCTTTAAGGTGAGGACCAAGGATCATGTGTTTGATAATGTCGGCCACCTTATCAGATACCATATGGATAATAGTTTGCCAATCATCTCTTCTGGAAGTGAAGTAAGCCTTAAACAACCAGTGATGAAAGATAGTAATCCGGGACTTTCGCATTCCAAGAAATGACAACACTGAAACATCATCACAATGGTATTTCAAGAAACTCCATTTTTTGTTAGTCCACATTAAAAATTCAAACTTTGTTCCTAAAAAAAAAAAAAAGCACAAACTGTGAAGTGCATATTTCCAAGAACATCATGGACAAAGTCTTTTATAAAACAAAAAACTAACAATATATCTTCAGAAAATGAAAATCAGAGAAGAGGAAGAGGATTGCTTCATTTATAAAGAAATTATACATATGCACGGATGTCACTTTTTAAGGTCATATTGCATTGACAACAAGCTAAAAGCACAATTAAAATATCACATTCTAAAGACAACTTGAACTGCGGGGGCAGTGTATGTGCCTTTTAACTTGATAATTTGGGGAAGTTTTCATATGGGGCAGATAGTCCATTTCATATGGACTGATAGTTCTGGGTGTTTTCATGTTCTATAACTACAGAACCATTTGCCAAAAATGTTTTTTCTTGCTAAAAAAAAAAAGAAGCAATTTGCTTGATAGTTACTGACGTTATTTCATTTTTCTGCTTAGTAGCATCTTTCATGGCGATGTTAAAATAAATATGGCATTGAATTCAAACTGTGTCTATGCCAATAGAGTCAAGTCAAAAGCCCCTGAAACTGTTAGTCTTTTTCATTGGTCTGTCCCACTTGCTGTTTAAAAGGTTGTAAAGGATCTAAATTCTTTGGCCTAATATTTCTCAATCTTTGCTATTTGGACTGTTTTTATACATTATGCCACAAACTTAAGAGGCCAAATCTGTCAGTCATTTTTTTAATTTATCATTATTCTCTCACCCTCCTTGCCAAAAAAATAAAATGTGATTTAAAAGATGGTAACCAGAACTACTGTTCTTCATATTCAATATTCAAATTGGTTCCCTTCTTCTTGAAACTACAGAATTTGAAAATATAGGGAAATTATCTTTTGACTTACTGCCACTGAATCATAGTTTTGTACCTACATATGTCCTAGCACCTTTTCTAGATATGGTTAGACAAAATGCAGAAGGGTAAAAACATTGAATGAAATAGTAGATCAAGCATTATATAGGGATAAGTATTAGGCTGGGACTTATCACTGTGACCTTGAGTAAGTTGCTAAACTCATCTGAATTCCAATTTTCTTGTTTATAAAATGAGGGAATTTGACTAGGAGAGTCTAGTGCTACCATAGTATGAGTCTATAAAAGGCAAGTCTTTCCTTTGTTAAAGGTCAGTATTGATAAACAGTCTGTATGGTCAAGGTTAAAAAAGTTTTTTTCCCTTTAGTCTGTGCCTATATTCAGGATAAATGGCATAACTGACATAGTTCAGACCCCACACCTTTTAGTGTAAGACAGTAAAAGTTTAGAATAATATAGGCAACGTAGTACAAATGGATTTAGTTTGCTTTCATTAGCAAAAATGTACTGCAGTTCTTTACTTGCCTTTGCATATATAGATATGGCAGTGTGTGTGTTTAATCCTGAATTATCTCAATAATTGCCTTAACTCTGTTTCATTTTGGCTAAGTAGATATAACCTAATATTTGTGATTGTGATACATTTGGTAAATTTTCAATATGGGAGACTTTTTTAAATAGAAATCATCAGAAACCAAACATAATGAACTCTAGTATTGTTATGGAAAGACTTATGATTTTATTTCTGTTGCCATTGATTTCTTAGGTAGGTTCATTTCTTTTTCTACAACTAGGAAATAATGTATCTTTCATTAATTTTCTGTACATCTTAGTTATTGATCACTTTTCCTTATAAAGAGCATCAGTATGCTACAGATAACAGAAATTTATGGGTAATCTAACCACCTTTATCAGAGACAGGGCAGGGCTGTGGTTGGACTCAATCTTCTGAGTAGAATGTTGACTGGGAAGCAAGAAGTTCCTGATACAAATGAACACAGATAGCAGTAATCGTGTGAGCAGTACATGTGGGTAAGCAGTATTTGACTATAATGGCATAGCAATTAGGCAAGCAATACTGTATTTATAAATACCACAGGCATAGTAAAAGAAACACAATAAATGTCTGCATGCTATTTTAATCTCACGTTCTTCATCCATTTTATAGTGAAAACCTATTTACTTATAAATATCTGTAAATGATTTTTTTTAAGAAATAAATGACTATTGCTTTGTGACAACTGACAATATATGCCTGGTGTTTGGGAATTGGAAAACTTTACCATTTGTAGGATGTATCAGGGTCCTGGTACAAAGCAGATGGCTCAGATTGGGTAATTTGAGATGTGGGCAGAATACAGGGAAACCACAAGGGAAAATTCAGTGCTCTGGGGCCCAGTGGAAAGAAAAAGAGAGGAAGCAGTTACAGAATCCAGAGAATTGTGGGCAAGGGCTGCCTTTGTGAGCTATGGTCTATCCTGGAGGAATGCAACCAGCCCTGATATCTCAACAGAGAGAGGGGCATTTTTTAACATATTTCCCCCCCTCTCTGAATTCCAGATAAGATCCTCCCCTGGTCTAAGTAACTTGAAGACAGAACAAGACTTGATGTAGTCCTCCTGAAGGACTTGAAAGTTAGCCTCCTCAGACACAGAGGAGGATGCAAAAGAGTAGAGAGAAAATCTGAAAGGATAAATGGAGCATATACATCACAGAAGATTTGGGAAATGGTCAGACTTCTCAAAACATCAGAGAAAGTTTCAATTTGTCATTAAGGCAAAGCTAATTTGCAGAGAAATATGTATAAATGTTTGGGTAACTATATATGAATCACAGCAAAATGTCAGCTTTTTACTATTAATAAAAACTGAATAAGCTGTATTTTCAGTGTTGGTTATTTTGCTTAAGAACAATTTCACATACATTTAAGTCTTAACATATATACTTTTGATCCTTGACCTTCCTGTTTCTTGAAAACCCCTCTTCTAATTTTGCCATTTTCTTACTTGTAATTATATAAGGAAAAACAATGTATCTGACTCTGCTACTTTTTATGATTGGAATTATAGATCTACATAGATTACAACATGAGATAATTTCTTACTATGTTGAACATATATATGAAACATACCATTCTATATCTATGGAAAATATTTAAATACACACATATTAGTATTAGAAATGAATTGGTACTTTTATCTTTTTGAGATTCTTATATATACGATGGGATTTTTCCTTTATTTATATGCTTGCTCCTCCTTGCTCCATTTTTAGGTAATTTTATAGTCTTACTAATGGGTCAAATAATCTTATTAGGGTGGGAATAAAAGAGAGTTTTCCTATGGACCTTACAAAGAAAGAGCAATAAGGGAATGCTACACACAATTTTCACATGTAAATTTGATAACTAAGAAGAAACAGACTGATTTCTTTCAAAAGTACAAGCTATCACAATTCACCCAAGAGGAAACTGATGTTTGAATAGCAATAAAGAAAAATTGAATTCATGATTAAAAACTTAGCTGTGATGGTACTCAAATATCAACTTGATTGAATTGAGATATCCTTAGGAAATACCTATAGTTAAGAGATTTCCGGTGTGTCTATGAAGATGTTTCCAGAGTCATATAGGCATAGCATGGCACATGGGATAGAAAAATAAAGAGGATACCCTCCTTGTTTGTTGGTATCACTGTTCAATACTCTGGGTTACCATATGGAACAAAAAGTAGAAAAAGGAAGTAAGTGTGGGTACAAGCTCAATTTTTATTGAGTGGGTGCATCTATTGCTGCTGCCATGGCCCAGGAACATTGGACTCCAGCTCCTTTACTCTTCCAACATGAACTCTCACTGGCAATCCTCCAGGGAGCTTCTAGGCTTTCAATCTCCAGTTGGGGCTACATGATTGCTCCCTCTTATTCAGAGGCTCCAGCTTCTTGGACTGAGCAGCTATTAGTTCCTCTGGGTCTCCAGTATGCAGATGTGGAACTATCCAATTTTTGATCATGTAGCTCCCCTTTTATAATCATTTGTGTGGGTATACACACACACACACACACACACACTCCCCCCACCCTCTGTTGGTTTCTGTTCTTCTAGAAAACCATAAGACTATCCCCAAAAGAAATTTTAGATAATTTTAATAGAGAACTCAGTCATTTAAAGAATAGTTAACATCAGTGCTCTGCATTCACTTCTTGAACATTAAAGAGAACACTGAACTTATATATAGGGCTTTTCCTTCATTGATAAGCTTGCTTCTCCTTGCTCCAGTTTAGGTAATTTCATTGTCTTACTAATGGGTCAAATAACCTTATTAGTGTGGGAATGAAAGAGAGTTTTGCCTACAGACCCTACAAAGGAGGACCAAATAAGGGAGTGCTACACACAATTCTCACATGTAAATTTGGTAACTAAGAAGAAACAGACCAATTTCTCTCAAAAGAACAAACTCAATCATTTAAAGAAGAGTTAACATCATTTTTTGAAGCAAATATTACTCTGACATTAAAACCAGACTAAGTGAAAAAAAGAAAAATATCAATATCCTTGTGAATATAGATGCAAAAATCCTTTAATGTTAGCACATAGTATTCCCAATATATAAGAATAATCATATAGTGAGATTCATTCCAGGTATGCAAGGCTAGTTCAGTGTTTGAAAAGTGATGACTATGAGCTACCACATTAACAATCCCAAGAAGAAAAATCGCCCAGATCCATCCGCACTGCCCTGTACGAATCCCAGGCTCACAGCAGGCCTGGTCCACCTCTCCCCGAGTTGGGCAGACACCTTCCGGAGCCTAGCCTCTGGCGCACTACCTCGGGAGGGAGGTCAAGCCCAGCAGCCTAGATCGGCCCACACCAGCCTGTGTGGGTCCCAGGCTCACAGCAGGCCCAGTCTACCCCTCTCCAGGCAGAGCAGACACCTACCAGAACCTAGCTTCTGGTGAAGAACAATCCCTCCAACCAGCAGACTGCCCTAGGAGGTCAGCTGGGTGACCCAGAACCACCCACCCTGGCCTGTGCAGGATCCAGATCCAGGATGTAGTAGCATTCATTTTGGGACACCAGCAGGGTCTGGAAGCCCAACATCAAGGTGAGGTACAGAAAATCTGCATGGGTACTATAAGAATATAGGGAAGAAACTGTAATATCTCAGATCCACACTGCAAGAAAGGAAGACACACAGACAACATGAAAAAAATAAGTACCCCA